GTCCCCACTGATTGAACCATCTTGTTCATCACCAAATGGCATCTCAGGGCATGGTCCATGGGCACCAGTCACATACACCCCCCGTCCTTGGACATCAGCATCTGACATTTCCCAACGCCTCAGGATCCCACTCCAGGATGCTTAGGAAGCCCAGACTTGCATTGCAGAGTGCATCGGCAACTGAAAGTACACTTTGCAAACAGGGACAAGCACCCCCGGCTAATGGATTGGATCAGGCTGTATACCGGGGCCACTCACTTGTTCTCCTTTGCACTTGCTCAGTTAGTGCCTCGCAGCATCCATACCACGCCACACCTGATTGCACATTGGTACTTCAACCAGAACTAAAGGTTATCAATACTGTTGTATTAACAAGCTCTTTAGTGCGGACTCATACACAAGCTGCTCGTCAGTAGTGATTTATCTGGTAGATTTTTCTATCTGACAAACCAAGACACCAACCTAACACCTACAACATGTGCCAGCGTGCTGTATGACAGACATACCGCACAGTTTTTTGAGCCAAATGGTTACGTTGGAACGTGGATGGGGACTAATGTCATTCCAATCAATAGGGGCCACTCTCTGTCAGGGAGTTCCGTTACTGTCATGGACACGTTCTGCACACACTCCAAGGGCTTGGGCATGGTCAGTCATCCACTTGGGCTGGGCACGTTCAGGAGAAATGTCCGGCTACAGTCCGTGAAGCGATCAGTGCTCAGTATTGTAGAGTCATCACAGGCAATCAGGGGAATTGTGTATTGTCCATCAGGGAGCTACAGGTACATCTGGGGTCTGGCCAGTCATATCTAGGGGCTATTTGTTAATGTCATATTAGGGGCTCTTTCTGTTGATTGAGAAGTGGATGTCTGTAGGGGCAAACTGTCAAAAAGGGTGGGGAAGTCAAGATTGGGGGAGAAAGCAGAGGCATGCATAGGAGTGGGATAAAGATGGTGATGGAGAATCTCAAGGTGGTTTGGGGCTTTGTGGACCTGCAATGTAGACTAAAGGAGTGGGAGTTACTGGCAGTGACCAACACTATGGCCTCCACAAGGCGAGCATAGAGAACTAGGGTAGGTAATACTCGGGTGTCATGTCAGTGCTCGGGGGCAAAGTTCATTGTGATAGATCTCCACATGGTGGGGGAAGGAGCGAGATAAAAGTGGACACAGAGGCTCTGAGAGGTACCTGCTGATCAGGTGGAGCCCAGTGCTGAAGGTGTCCACCATGAGCTGTGTTACAGCTTTCCCTTCTTGTTCTCTAGCTGTGAAATGCTCTAGGTGACATGGAAAATAGTTGGTACAATGCCTAGGGTGGATGCAGGATCCACGTCTGCTTTCTCAAATGCTGGTTAGCATTTGGTGCTTCCCACCTAACATTGACACCTCAATGGTGCAGAAATTAATAGCAGTGAATTAAAATGAGGGAAATGCTGGGCAAAGTCACTCCACCTTATGTGGAAAATCGAAGGTCACTGTGGGACAATGGGAAAATTTCTGTATCATGAGTCATGTAAGTATGATGATGGGCTGTACTGAATATCACGGAAAGTGGGATGGTTGGTGTGGGTCTGGAATAAGGAGGGAGGTTGGAGCACAGTGTTGGTCTCTCAGCCAGCACGTCGCTTTCACCAAGTTAGTGCACATGCTGTGAGCAGGCAAAGGTGGAGCAGACAATAAGGCTGCTGCAGGTACATTTCCACAGGTTGGTGCAGTCTCAGGGGGTGTTGTAGTATTGTCTGGACAGACTGCTGCATCATCCTGATGTGGTAAGTTCTGCACAGTTGGAGCAGACAACAAGGTGATCATTGCTGAACAATTTGGAGAATGAGAGCAGTTTTCTGAGAAGGGGATGGGGGGGGGCAGCAAGGTCATTTGGTTCGCATTATGGGGGTGAACTGCAACTTTTACTCATTTTGATGATGTTCACTTTTGCTGGCTGTAAGTAAACGCTCATCTTTGGAACCAAAGTCTTTATCACTCAGTAAAAGGATATATTTGTAGGTCTCAAAATGTAACTTTCATTTAACACATGCAAAGACGATGGTTCAGATCATAACAAGTGCAGGCGTATTTACTGAAGCTGCTTGTTACATTGAGGTGGTGAGATGTGTAAAATGATGGTTGAATCATACAAGGTGTGGCATCAAGGACTAATCCCTATTTTTGTCTGGTTGTGCCAGTACACACCTTTATTAACATTGGTGCATTGTCTTTGAGCACTGTTTGTTCATTAAAATGTGATATGGTCATTTGTTTATGAAGCGCACACGAGGATTATGCTGACTATCCTTCAAACAAGCAACACTTCTTCCCACAATTATTTGACAGCGGTTTAAAAAAATTCCTGAGGTTAGGTTTCTTGGCAAAATTGAAGTTCATGAAGTACAAGGGACAGTGACGACATGGAGACAAAGCTGGCTAAGTGATGGGAGAGAGAGTAGTGGTGAATGATTGCTTTTTGGACTGAGGAAACTATACCTTTGGGTTTCCCAAGCATTGAGACCACTGCTTTTCTTAATAAGTCACATAAATTCACCTTGTTGAGTGAACAGGATACAATTTCAAAATTTGCAGATACCAAGATACTTGCAAGAATTATGAACCATGAGGATAGTGATACCCTTTAAGAGGGCATAAACAGGCTGGTGGAATGGATAGACACACACCATGTG